GATCGCCGGATCGGCTTTCACCGTGGACGAAGCGGAGTTCAGCCCGGGGTCGTCACATGTGGTTGCCGCAAACCCACCAGGCCGCTCCTTCATCGATTCCGCCGGCCGCACCGTTCTCAAGCCCACCGGCCTCCGCTCACTAAAACCCACCGGCCTCCACTCACTCAGCCCGCCGGCCGTTCCTCACTCTAGGCTGCTGTGTGTTTCGTTGTGAAAGCAAAACTACTTTGTTTGACCTTCCAAAAGAGGACACGACTAGAAATCAGTGGCCTGGAGCTGATCCGTGCTGGTCGCTGATTAGCAACATCATATGACCCCTTTAAGTGAAAACGTTGCGTGTTTGTAGAAAACAAAACTGACGTTTTTAACTTCACACTGTTGTTTTCAGCTACAATACAAGTCCTCTATCCATTTTATTGCTTTTTCCAGTAAAAAATTGGCTCATCTGAATCAGGTGAGAAATATGCACAGATCAAGCACCGTTTACAATCACATAGCTTTTCACTTCACAAGACGTTAAATGATGGACTGGAGTTTGGATTACTTTTGGATTATTGTAATGTTTTACGCTGTTTGAACTCTCATTCTGACGGTACCCATTCACTGCAGAAGATCTATTGGTGAGCAAGTGATGTAATGCTAAATTTCTCCAAGTCTGTTCCAATGAGGAAACAAACTCATCTGTATTGGATAGCCTGTATGTGAGAAAATATTCAGCAAATTGTTGTTTTGGGGGTGAACTATTCCTTTAAGTTGCAGTCATATTAAAATTTTGAGGGCAAAAAGGTGTATTTTTTTATTGTCAAGTGTGTCGCAATGTAAGAAGTCTCAGAGAAGTCACTTTCAAACTAAGTAGCTTTCTCTTGGAAAATGCAATAAATTATCTTGACCAACTTGAAAACAATTCAGAATCTGTGTGGGGAAATATTTCGCCCTCAAGCGTTATGGCGCATGGATTCCTACTGAATGGATTACACTCTTGAAAATTCACAGAACGGTAAATGTGACTGCACCTTTAAACCACATTATTGTTCCTGTCAGGTTCTGTTTAATTGACACTCACTTGTGAAGGTCCAACTTTTGCTACAAAAATTTTGGTCAGTAATATGACTACCCATGCCATTGCTCAGTGTGAATGTTTAGGTTACTGGGGACATTTGATTTGTTTGTTTCTTCTCTTTTTCTCAGGGTCAGCATCATAAATCCCTCTGTTGCCAAAACTGCATTGACTGCAAATAGGAATGATGGGTTGAGAATACAAACATGAATTATTGCTAAAACTGGTTCGAGTTTATCAGCAGTCATTCTTGTCATTTCAGGGTCATATTTGAAATGGATAACAGACTGAGAACACAAAAAATTCTGTAGGGTTGTATATATATTGTATGAAAAGTTGCACATACTGCATTATTGATTAATGCTACATAAAAACCATTGTGTTTTTACTTCTCGGTTTCTTTTTTCCTTATGTGTATATGACTGCAGAAGTGCATGTGAAAATTATTACTTTGGACAAAGTCATATTTATGATTTGGTTAAAATCTTACATTTTGATTTAACATTAATCAAATATATTTATTTTCCCAAAGACATTAAAATGCATGCAAATAAAAGGTTATTGAATAGACCATATAACATACTTAAAGGGGTCATATGATGCGATTTCAATTTTTCCTTTCTCTTTGGAGTGTTACAAGCTCTTGGTGCATAAAGAAAATCTGTAAAGTTGCAAAGACTAAAGTCTTAAATCCAAAGAGATATTCTTTATAAAAGTTAAGAGTCAACCACGCCTACCTAAAACGGCTCGTTCTAACACGCCCCAACATATCTACCTCACTATGTGGGAAGATTTGCATAATGCCGCCCAAATGTTCACGCAAAGAAAGAAGGCGTAACTTTTATTCTCACTGTAGTATTGTTGTGTCCCCACTGGATGCAACAAATGCCTCGTTTGTAATGGGTTGGGTTTTAATGTTTTTGTCTCGTCGCTCCGGCCGGGACACGGCATCAATACAGTATGGTGAGGGCGTAACATTTCCGTCTAACGGTTGAGGTATTCGGCCAATCACAACGCACTGGATAGCTGGCCAATCACAGCACACCTCGCTTTTTCAGACCGATGAGCTTTGTAAAAATCGACGTGTTTCAGAAAGTCGGGGCATAGAGGAGAAACAATAATGTACAGTATGTGGAAAATAATGTTTTTTTTACTTTAAACCGCATAAACACATTTCATTACACCAAATACACAAAATAATGTTCTTTTTAGCAGCATCATATGACCCCTTTAATATATTTTCTTAGACATAAGCCAAAACTAAATGTTTATTGAGATGTCTTTTTAAATAATATTTTCTGTTTTTTTGTGAAAAATAAAAATTAATAGAAAATCACAATAAATTCTGCAGTCAGTAAAGCTTGCCAACACAATATATATACTTTTTAAAAAATATACCATTAACTATTCTTTTTGACCAAAAAAAAAAAAAAAAAACCCTTAACAAAAAAAAGTTTAATCCAGATCCCAGGATTTTCAATTTGGCCAATATAAAAAGGCACTTATTTGTATGAACAATGAAGACTCGTTTCCACACTGCTTTTCATTTTATTGTCAGTGCAGTGCAATACTTTATTTAAGAGGACCGAGACTTACACAAGTCACCAAATTGTAACATTTAATTGACAGGAACTACTGTCATCCAAATGCCCAGGCTCTTTACACAAGGCTGAAATTGAACTGCCTCGCATGCCTTCACTGCAAGTTGTCAAAAGACTCTACTAATGGTCAAATAATAGTGTTACAAGAACAAGAGCCAAACGTGTCACTACACTGTGCATGCATTAGATACTGAACTGACAGTTGCATAAAACATTTAATGGAACTGGGGAAAAGAGTGTGTGGAAGTGCATATAAGTGTCACGTTTACGTGATGGAATGAAGACAGTACAACGAAGATAATCTTAATTCTTTTTAAATACATCCACAGGGAAAGATGAAGGGAATATCAATACACGAAGGGTAACCACATACAACAACCGACAACTCAGAGAACTAAATGAAGGGAATTTATACAAATGGAAGAGGAACGAATGACTAATTAACAAGACACAGGTGAAAGGCGGTTAACTAAAAAAGACATAACGAGGACAGGAACAGGAACGACCAAATATGGGCACATGAGGGAGAAAAACACAACCAAATGTCCAATACTGTGACAACAAGTAACTGGCATGACTGCGGTGAAGTGATTCCCTGAGGATTAACTCAGTATATGATGCTGAGGGATTTGCAGCATATTTCCTAACTGTACAGATGGTCTAATGGGTCCAAATCTCACACCAGGGAAATATGTTGTACAGATAATGGCCATGAATGTACAGAATGTAATGCTTGGTGTAACTGGAGCTCTGATCAGTCCCTCGCTGGCCCTGTGTTGTTAGATTAATGCCCTGTGGATAAATTGCTTTGGGTGCACTTAACGAATCAGATATTTTATCATTCTCTAATGTGCTTTGCAATGATGCTATGATTGCATAATGAATTTTGATATGCAATTACACGTTAGAAGCACTGTGACTCATTAGAGCTCAGTTAAAAAGAATGTTGACAAGATACTAAAGTTACACTATAGACAAAGCACAAAACATTCATTAAATGAGTGAACCTTTTCAATTATTAATGCATTTATAAATAGAGATGCGTACAAAAGAAAAGAAAAGAAAAAATAGTAATAAATATAAAATGTTTTGTAAAATTGAAATAAAAATAGCCTATAATTTTACATTAAAATCTAAATAAATAAAAAAGTAAAGTATTATTGTTTATTATAATTATTATTGTTGTTATTATTATCATCATCATCAATTTGTTATTTTAAATAATAATGCCTCTCTAAATAATGCCTCCTATAAACTTTTGACTTAACTTACTCTCAGAAATATTCACTGGAATAAAATTGTTGCAAGCCCGATTTTATTTAAACTATATATTTACAATCTATCACACACACACACACACATATATATATATGTATATGTGTGTGTGTGTGTGTGTGTGTGTGTGTGTGTGTTGTTGTTGCTGGGGCAATAAAATGATGCACAGACGAGATGTCTGTTTAAAGTTAGAAGAACTTTATCCTAGTGGGAAAAAAACAACCTAATATTTGTAAAGGTTTATAAAGGTTTTAAAAATGTATATGTTTTGCGTATCACTTTCGGATTCCATCGCAATAGATTACAAATCACCGGATGCCATAGCACTGGAATCAGTCTCCGCCCACCTCCATAAATCACTTACTGCTGATGATCATGGATTAGTGAGAGCGCACGTGCGAGGAATCAACTTCAGACTCTTGGACTGCCGTCAGAAAATGTAAGAAAAATATTTTCACTCAATTTGTATGATCTTATTACTGTCAATGTGACAAATATGTCAATGGCCTGGTAAATTTGAAACGATTGGTAGCCTATGTTGCACACGCGCAGATCTACGCTATTTCAAATTAAGCGCGTCCACTGATTTGTTAAACAAACGTGAGCTCAACAGTTGACCAAATATAAGTAGCCTATAGCTATAAAACATCGTTTTCTAGAAGTGTAGTTTAAATAAGCTTAAATGTGAACGTCGCATTCAAATGAAAATTATAATTATTTGAGCCTTCGTTGTCTTTTTATAAAAGAGATATATATAAATAAAGTTTGTTAACAAGAAAACGTGATTAGATAACGTGCTGGGACCGGATGCGTGAGGACAGCTATTAGATCAGATCACATTCACGGTTTAAGCTGTCAGTCTACAGAAAGCCGTAAATACAGGTTAAGACAGGGAAAGAAGGGTCTCTCTCTCTCACTGTCACTTGACATGTAATTAGTGATGTTTGAATGCACTTGTGTCATTGCAACTGTTTTTCTTCTTGTGTATGTTTTACGGGTATTTGATTTAATTTTTAGCCCAATGTCTGGAAATGAAGAGCGCACGTTCATAGCCATCAAGCCTGATGGAGTGCAGAGGGGACTTATCGGAGAGATCATAAAGCGTTTCGAACAGAAGGGCTTCAAGTTAGTTGCTATGAAGTTACTCCAGGTAAATTGAATTAACAGTTTTAATCTCAATTGTTTTGATAGGACTTGCCTTTCCTTTTAATAGTAAAACAGTGCGCTGAGAGCGCGTCATTTGGCGTTTATAGTTGGCCGTTACAGCCACAGTTTATTTGTGTATGTATTGTGTGTGGCGAAAGTGACAACAGATTTATTTAACATGTATACCTTACGAAAATTAACCATGGTTTTTTTTACAAATAAAACAAACTAACAAAAATCATGGTTAGGCCTACTATAGTTAGGCTACCCCATGGTTTTGCAACACTAACCTAGTTTAACCATGGTAGGAATTTGTAGGCTAGTAAAACTGTGGTTATACAAATGGTAGTCAATACGCCAAAAAAGCATGGTTACTATAATTTTACTATAATAAAACCATGGTTCATTTTCGTAAGGGTAGAATATTTTTCAAAAATATTTGGCGGTAAAACATAGGCTATACATCACTGCTCAGCTCTCCTGTTATCAACGTTCTGTTACATTTAGTCATTTAGCAGACTTTGTTGTTAGACTTACAAATGAGGACAATAAAAGCAGTCAAAACTAACAAAAGAGCAACAATATATGTGCAAATGACAAGTCTCGGTTAGCCTAACGCAGTACACGTAGCAAGGTGTGTGTAATTGGGTTGTTTTGACCCAGCGGTTGGGTTACTACCCAGAAGGTTGTGTTAAACATTTAACCCAACCGCTGGGTCAAAACAGCCCAATTGCTGGGTTTGTCCCTATTTTACCCAGCACTGGGTTGTATTTAACCCAGCATTTTTTAGAGTGCACACACAAAGAAAATAGATAGATAGTAGATAGAATAGAAAAAATAGAAAGCTAGTGTGTTTGTTAGTTTTTTTTGTTTGTTTTAAATAAAAAAAAGAAGATAAATATAGATAAAGTAGAATTAAAATAGAATAGAAAGTGCTAGAGTTAGAGGGTCAAATAAAGGCGGAACAGATGTGTTTTTGATGCTGTTACCTCAGCATCATCTAGCAAAAGGATGATACTGGATAGATTTAAATTGAGATTTATCCATCATCTGGAAGCTGAATAAGCTTCTAAATAAGCTTTCCGTTGATGTATGGTTTGTTAGGATAGGACAATATTTAGTCGAGATACATCTATTTGAAAATCTGGAATCTGAGGGTGCAAAAAAAAATAATCTAAATATTGAGAAAATCAAATTTAAAGTTGTCCAAATGAAGTTCTTAGCAATGCATATTACTAATCAAAAATTAAGTTTTAATATATTTACGTTAGGAAATAAACAAAATATATTCATGGAACATGATCTTTACTTAATATCCTAATGATTTTTGGCATAAAAGAAAAATAGCTAATTTTGACCCATACAATATATTGTTGGCTATTGCTACAAATATACCCCAGCGACTTAAGACTGGTTTTGTGCTCCAGGGTCACATATGACTTTCAGAAAACTTTATCAGATTAAAACTTGTTACATGTTTTCCCCTTAGTCCATAATTGTAAAAAGCTCTATTCTTGGTGTGAGGGAACTTAAGCTCTCTCAGACACACTTGTCTTCTAAGGGTTAAACCAATTACTCCAATTGTAGGTCCTTGTGGTCTGCAAAGTTGCGCCTGCTATATATATCCCCATGTGACCATTGCATTACAGTAAATATTGCCTTAAAATATTGTCACAAAAAAGTTGAGGTCAAAAGGGTATGTGGGATTAGAGGAGATTCTCAAAACTTTGTAGGCTTTTTTGCTCATGTTTTGTATGCTTGTCTTCAATGCAGGCCGATGAGGATCTTCTGAGACAGCACTACTGTGGCCTGAAGGATCGGCCTTTCTTCCCAGGGCTTGTCAGTTTTATGTCCTCTGGCCCTGTGGTTGCCATGGTAAACCTATTTATATTATTTTCCCCAGAGTGCAACTCTAGGGTACTTTGAATTTAATAATATTTCTGGCTTATTGCTAATAAATATTCTTCATTCATTTTATGAAGGTGACTAATGTTATTTCTCTGATATATTTTTAGGTGTGGGAGGGTTTTAACGTTATAAAAACCGGCAGAGTAATGCTCGGCGAGACTAATCCCATTGACTCCAAGCCTGGGACTATCCGAGGTGACTTTTGTGTTCAGGTTGTCCGGTAAGATCTTACACTGTATTGTAAAATAACATTTTGATGACTGTGTTTTAAACAGCAGATAAATATATTTAAAATTACAGTTTATAAAAAGAGCCTGAAAAATGCTCTTACATTTCTTGTGTAAATGTAATGCAAAATAATTATCTGAATGTTAGATTTAATATTTAAGTGTACATCCACTCAGATCAGCAAACAAATCAATTGTTT